TAAACCTCGAGATAAGCACATATAAAAAGATACGTGTCTAATATTTTTTTATCCTCCACAACTTATCCAATGCCCATTCAAATCGGTGAGGGACGTCCCTGACCGTTCCCTTGTAAGTGCAGAAAATACTTCGGCGGATACTATGAGCGTCGGTTTGCGCCGTCGCTGCAGATCCGAGTGTGTTGTTTTAATACGTGTAAGCGTGTAATTTGATGAAACTTTACAACGTTCTTATCATCTTGAAACGTACTATTTAATATCTTTAAACGTGTTGAGCAATATCTGAATGAGTTAAATAACGTGATTTAAGACCACAAGAAACGTGTGAAGAAAGCTTCAATCACACGTATATGCACATTAAATTAACACATTCAAATTTATAATGTCCTCACTGCAAATCCGAATGTGTTATTTTGATACGTATAACCTGAAGTTTTCTTCCACATTTTTCGTCATTTTAAATCACGTCATTTAATTAATTTTTTATCGAGATGACTGAGAAAACGAAAGTTATTTAAGATACGCGTGAATGTACAAACTTATAAATTTGTACTTTGAGAGTGACATAATAAAACGTTAGACACGTGACCACCGAATCTCGAGATAATTCATTCATCGCGAGTAGCGTCGGCTCGGCTTTTTGCCGCGGAAAGGCAGTTCGCTTTTCAATGCAGTTCTCGCGCGCGTTGAATGCAGCTGTTCCTGACTTTATTCGAGTAGCTTACTCACGCGGCACGACTTTTCGCGTCGTGCTGAGCACCGACTTGGAAAAATGGAAAATACGTCTTCAGGTATCCTTTGAAATAGCGGACATTCGATGCCGGCAATATTAGCACGTCGCTGTAAGCGACTGCCTTTCAGTGGGAAATTCCCTTTGCGGCTGTGTGAGGTTTAGAAACAGAGCTTTGAAAAAAAGTATATATCCGAAACATGTAACTTCAGAACAAGCGGAATCATTTAAATTTTAGAGGATTTTATTCTTATATGGTGTCTCAAGAGGATTTTGCTAAAAATAAGAGGAAAGTATTATAAACACATCATTCCTAAAGTTAGAGGAATTATATGTTATATTTATAATACAAATTTTATTGATTTTAATATAAATTTCTTTTTCTAAACACAGATTATTTAGTCTTTTTTTTTAGAGGATTATTATTTATTGTTACTGTACTTTATTCTTACTGGTTATACGTTCCTTTATAGGGAAAGGAAAGAAAATTATTATGAAAATGTCCGGAAAAAATTCTGGTTAAATTTTTTTGGCTTTCCGCCGAAAAAGTAGGAAAAGAACGTAAAGAACAAAGTGTTGATTTTGGCCCATCGTGGGGAACGAATAAAACAAATAATTTCTATAGGATTTTTATCTGCTCAACACGATGCCGTCGTTAGTTTTTCTCTAGTTCCTCGCGGAATATGTTCATATTCGAGGATTTATCATTCAATAATCGAATAGCCCGGAAAGCCTTTGCGTAAACTTTGATGCTATTGCAAATTCGTGTATTAGTTAAATTAGCTAAAGACAGTTCAGATTTTCGATTTAGAAATATTTTTGGTTTAATAGTTGAACGTGTTCTTTTTATGCAAAATTTGCTAACAAATAATATACAAGGTGTCACAAATCACCCGCACCACTCGATTTTGTTGTAAACGCGATATTTTAGGAAAAATGTTTCAGACAAAAATTGTATGGTTACAAAGGGAACATGTAACAACTATATCATTTTGTTTATAGATTGCGCTACTTTCGAGATATTCACTGATCATTATTTTTCGTAAATGGAAACCTCAATTTTTCTAATAATTAATTATATTATCTTTCTCTAATAATTAATTTTAACAACTTTTGTCTGAAACATTTTTCTATTGCTTAGTATTTTTTGAGATGTTTAAGGAGAACTTGGTAACTTTTTTTAATATTTAACTTACGATATCTCGCTAACTATCAGAAGAAAAAATGGTACTAGACTTTGTCACTCTACTTGGTCTCAAGAATATAAGCTTGGAACAAAACGTCGTTCGATGTCTCTCGGCTTCAATTCGTACGGCACCCAATTTCCTTGCTTTTGAATCATTCTTAATGCTTTTAAACGTTTGGCAACTGTTGTGTGATCAACTCCTAATGATTCTGCAAGTTCATTTTGCGTTTGACATAGATCTTCATCGAGTAATGCTTCCAATTCTTCATCTTCAAACTTTTTCAGTGCGCTAGAGCGTTCTTTATCTTCAAGATCAAAATCATTAATTTTAAAGCGTCTAAACCAATCTCTGCATGTTGTTTCCGACAGAGCATGGTCGCCGTAAGTCTCCACAAGAATTCTATGTGCTTTAGCTGCAGATTTTTTTTGAAAGAAGTAATGCAGTAAAATTCTCCGCAAATACTCTTTTTTTGGCACGAAATTCGACATGTTTAACGCTATGAAAAAATATGTTGCGCTTCGGCGGAATAACATATACTGTCACTTCGAGCCTAATGGTGGAGCTTCACGATGAAGCTGGCTGTAGTATTGCCCGATGCAAAAAGGCTAAGATAACACTTTCTATCGGGAAACAGAGAGAACTTATTCAAGTCCCTAATATATTGAAAGAGAGAGATTACCAACGTGCGAGATCCGGATATGGCACAATCATGAAGAAGGAACATACTTCTTTAAATTAAAGACACATTTAATAATTAATATCGTGGACGAGTGGAACACAAGTTTTAAATAAATTAGACTGAATTTCTGCGTTTCTTAACCTTCCTTGTCAGTCCAGCTTTTTGTGGACGGACACGGTAGTGATTAAACGCGAAGAATTTGAACCAGTATAAATTTGATGCCATGACTAAAAAACCAATGCAGCTATTGAGTAGGAGAAGCAGAAGGATATACCTGATATTCCATATGAGCAAAAGTGCTATGTAAATTCAGACATGACTGTGAAAATTTCGAATTTAGATGGCCAAATAATATAACGGTACCCAGTCATTAGACTGTAGATATATACCATTTGAGCTACCCATAATAATAAATTTGGGTTTGTTAGTAAAAAGTTAATAACTAGTTTAGACTGCGTATAAGTTTATATTGCGTTTCTAGTCGATTCATACTTGTGCGATCTTTTGTAGAAACATGAATGAAATACAGCATATAAGACTTTTCAATATTTTTGTATCGTCCTTTCTAGTCTGTAATTTCTATCGAATATTTCAACGTAAAAAATCAATTAAAATACTATGCGAAACCAGAAAATATATTGTATTATCTATCTCTTTAACTATTACTCTCATTTATTCTGCTTAATTACGTAATATTTATTTCTCAGTTTCACTTTTTTAAATTCACTTTCTTCACTTTTTTAAATTCTTTTTTAATTCAATGAGGCTCAACTCCTGTCGATAAACGGTCGATAAACTGTGTGGTAACGATCACGATGCAAAGTTAGTTGCACTTATCGTACTCGGAGTTCAAATATCATTAGCAACAAAGTCAACGAGTATCCAAAGGAAAAACACTATCCATCAAGTAAGACTTTAACGATTCTATATTGCGCTTTATATATTTCCCTATATCGCCCTGGCTGTGATTAAAAATGTGCAGTTGTGGTATTAAGGACAAAATACATATATATTCGCGATATCTTTTTTCTCGTACATGTCAGTTTCGAAAAACACGCGATTCGTCGGAGAGTAGCGAGTCGACTCGACAAACATCTCAGATTACGTGAATCACTCTTAGAATATTAAAAATGGATTCCATTGGCAAGATTAAAACGGAGATACAAATGTCAGCTGTTCGAAAAAACGTTCGGCTTTGCGGGATGACCGCACGATTACTTACACGTGATCCTTAGATCGTGGTCAAACCTTATCATGGTCATCGTACTCATCAAAAGTACAAACAGGAAAATAGCGCACATTGTGTCCTTCTTGAACTTGGAACTTGTATATACATGTCAAAAGTTCTCACAAAATTTTATAATTTTAGCTAAAGTAGCTACTTGGAGAGAACATACATTGCGAAATCAAAATATAAAATACAGTTTTTAATTTTTAAATTGATAATGGGACGATCATTTGCGTTCTGAGGAAGATCAATAACAATAGATCAGTGAGTACTGCTAGATATTATTTTAAAAGATTAAGCGATAATGTATTGAGAGAAAAAAATATCTAAAAATGATGAATATTTCCTTTACTATCGTTGAATTTTCACGCTGTCGAAAAGAAGAAGAAGTAGAGGAGGTTAGGTATAATTAATATATTATTTCAAATTTCACTTATTACGTGCATAACTCTTTATTGTGTTTGTTGGAATTACAAATAAATTTGTGTAATCTAAGCGCAGTTATTTACACGAGGAGGAAAATATTAATATCGCAAACGCATTAACATGAATTTTTTTTCCATAACGAAGAAAACAAATATTCCACCTATTGCACGTATTCTTTTCTTTCTAGGAATTCTCAAGTATATACATACTTTCTGGATAATTATATATTCGAATTTATTTTACAGTTAGGACAAAATTGTTCTGGATACCGAAGATACAGTTGATACTTCAATGAAGGAATTTATTTTCGGATTACTAAAAAATAACTTATTTTATTGAACTATCAGATGTTGTAAAATACTTCGAAAAAAAATTGTCCGAATTGTATCAATTCCAACTCTACAATCGTATTTGCGTAAGGTCTAGGACCTTTAGGTCTAGAAAAGATCTACATATGTTATTTCCAATATGGTCGGTAGTGCAAAATGATGATGCTTGCGAGTAGCAACTTGCGAGTTTGATCGATTATGATGAAAGTCGAAGTGATAGTATACGAGATATCTAACGTTGCAAATATGACGAGGAAACGCAAAAAATGTAGGTATTTTTATCATACTTTTATCGATCGGATGAAAGTATAATAAAGAGACACTATGTGCACCGTGTACTATCATGCGAATTCTGTTACAATCGCAAACCCGCGAGCACTCGTTTGCACTTGATCTCGATCGGAAGAAAAAGCTATTTCTCAAAGCAGCGTATACGAATTTTCGTAACAAAATAAGTGATGCGCAACTGATTGTGCTAGCGAGTAACACTCATTATAAAATAATTAGTCTTATAGTCACGACGATAAAAACAAAACAATAAAATATTTTAGCGAGTCATTAATGTATGAATTGGGAAACTGGTGTAAATCTTATTCGTGATAGTCTGGATAATTTCAGCTACGATGTTTTGGATGTTATGGATTAATTCGGAAGTCAGTGTGTCCCACTCTACTTCAAGATAATCATTTGTTAACTGCATTAAACATTTGGGATTACCTTTTTCTTGTTTCTCAGTCTTCACATCTCCAATCTTTTTAATTCGCATGGTGACGTTGTGCACATAAAAGTATTGTTCACTCTCTATTCCGATTCCGAAATTCGAGCCTCTTATAGTAATTTCGGCAACGACGTCCGCAAGAATACTATTTAATTCGTATGTGCTACTTTTAGTACGCGTAGGCATGAACGAGCTGAATGCATTGAACGTAGTGGACAACTCTGACTAGTGAAAAGTGTGCGAGAAACTGAATGAAATCATTCCTGTCGGTAACTCTAAAAATAACAATTTTAAGATAGTTTTGTGCTCGGTTGGTCACCAACTGCGGACGGATTCATCATGTGAATCGTTTCGGCCAAGTTGCTTTCCTTTATCATACGGCGAATATTGTTCAGATATGTCAATTGATCGCTTAGCGCATTTTCAAAGTCCTTATCACTCCCTTCGGACATTGTAGAAATTCTCTAAACAACAATATTCGCCGTAGTGAAATATTGGTTTAAGGGGATCCTGGAGTCGTCTGTTTTACCGACAAATTGACTTAATTTTCTTAAACACTATTCTTTTTATTAGCTATACAGATTGAAAAATCCTTTTGTACAGCGAAAGTACTTATAATAACGAAGTGCGGAAAGCAGAGTTTTATATAAAATTTAATGAAAAATTAAAAAATTACAGTTTTCGTTATCATGTTCTGCATTAGCTCGTAACTTTACTTATTAATTATAAAAGTTCTGCAGTTTATCCAACCAGCAAAAGCTTTTGCTTCCGTACTAGCCATGATATGAAAGAATAATACTAAAGTAATAGAAATGAGCTCAGAGATCAGTGTAAAAAGAATAGTGTTTATGAAAAAATGGTTTGGATGTGTGTGTATGCGGAATATTTTTCCTACATTTTGGGGTAAAACAGAACAGAAGATTAGTTCCGCATAATCGTAATCGATGGAGCTGCAGGCAGACACAATCGTACTATCCTTGTTTCTTTCATGCGTAACTAAATTATGACAATGAAACTGTAGTTGTTAAATTTTTTGTCGAATTTTACATAAAACTCTGCTTTCCAGACTTCATTATTATAAATACTTTCATTATGCAAAAGGATTTTTCAATCAGTGCAGCTAATAAAAAGATTAGTGGTTGAAACTCTCTCGTATCTTGATTCTCTCGATTGCACGCTCATCAAGCCGTGTTTACAATCAGTCGGAAGACATTGTCGTATGTCGCACGTATGTCGCACGTACCAATCACAACCTCACATGTGGTGTCTTCAATAAAATTACGCTTAAATTAAATTAGCAACATACATATATATATAGAGTTAATTTAATTTATAATTTATATATATATATATATATGTCATAGGACGTTAAACTTGCACATTCTCATTATTTTGTTCTAATGCAAATATTTAAATTTTCAACATAGAATACATATATATATATTAAATGTATGTATATATATTAATTATGATCGAAAATTTAAGTATTCATGTTTAAAAATCAAAATAATAAGAATTTCCAAGTTTAGGTATATATCCGAGTATCGGCACTTTTACTTTAACTACAAATATGTTATTGAAAAAGCAACATTTCTTTATTGTACCAAAACTTATTTGCAGAATCTCATTTGTATTTGTACAGTAATATATTTCCTCTCCTAGCACATTAAAATGACAGTGCACAAGGTGAAAAATATAATTCTTTACAAGGATTGATTGCCTATTTTGTAAATTGATATACAGCCACAAATAAACTTACTTCAGAAACATCTGTATATAATATATGATATCATCAATGTCGATAATAGCAAGCATGTCGGTATAGTCACTCGCGTACCTGTGAAACGAAATTGTGTACTAGTCGTCAATGGTTTGGCATAATAAGATTAAAAACATAATATTTATAAAATATTTATAAAATATTATGTTTTTAATCTTATTATGCCAAACCATTGACGACTAGTACACAATTTCGTTTCACAGGTACGCGAATGACTATACCGACATGCCTGCTATTATCGACATTGATGATATTACTGACGCTCCTAGCAACTGGCAACCCGTCGTACTGAGCTGTATGTTGATGCATCATCCTGTACAAGGATGTAATATGAAATATAAAAGAATATTGTAACAGAATCAAGAAATAAGAAATGAAACCTCCTTGCTTTTATTTCAATATCCTCTAAGTTAACAAATATTCTTCAACCATACAAATATTATATTTTTATTGAGTATTGCACTGAACAACTATGACATTGTTCTGAGAGTTTTTTCATTTAGAGCGATGAAACAGATATATTTTATGCATTTTTTTTTCACGCAGATAGAAAATTTATAGAAAATTTCACGGTTATAATTGTTTTTTGAGATTATTTTATACTGTATGAAGAATATTTGTTAATTTAGAGGGTATTGTAATAAAAGCAAGGTGGTTTCATTTCGTACTTTTTGATTCTTTTACAACTTCAAATGTTCTTTTACAACAATCCTTGTACAACTTAAAATTATTCTTAAAATATTAAACAATTCAATAGTCAAACCTGTAAACCTGCCCGCCTCCGCAACATAATTAATAATATATATTTCATTTTCTTGATGTTGAATATTATTAATACTATTGGAAATAATATTACAAATGATACAAATTTTTACAAATTTTATTTGTAAAAATTTGTATTATTTATAGCATTATTATATAATTACAAATAAAATTACAAATAATAAATATCACAAATAATAATATTAATAATAAAGTATTATACATAATAATTTCGGCGTGCCGAGTAGAGAAAACTTTTCAGTATTGTCATAGAGAAGAGAGGAGAGAGACAGTCGCACCAGCGATTCAGGTTATAGAGAAAGAATTAGGCTCGCTTGCTGAGCGAGAACGAGAGCGAGAAGGAGAGAATGATATTCTCTCTCGCTCGGCGCGCCGACGATTGCCGATCGCGTCCGCGTGGCTCACATCGAACCGAGCTGGCTGTGCGTGCATGGCGAGAGAAATTCTCGTGCAAGCTCGTCACCAAATTCGCATCACTATTGTGAGATAATAAATTAATAAGTTGAATGCTGAATTAATCAAAATGCTTATATGTCAATAATATATATGTGTATTTCATATATTCTATTATCACTTATTATTATCATGTACACAACATTCTTCATATAATATTCGCAACTTTTTTACTGTACTAATATTCAGATTGTTACATCACACAGATTGTGCAAACATACATATACACACACACACACACGCACACATACTGAAAAAAAACAGGTTCTTTTCATTCCAAGTTTTACTTTTTATTTATTTACATGTTTTGGTTTCCGAAAAGATTAAAACAAATAAAATGTATGGTTTGATAACCGCATATATGAATTCACATGTGAAACCATGTTAAAACTGTTCATCTTCTTTTTGTTTTCTTGCGCGAGCACAAGTTTATGTTTGTTCTTATTCACCCTGCTTATCTGGCGGTGACTCTTAAATTTCTTTTTCTAATGACACGAATAATGAGTATTCGAATTATGGATTAAGATAGCAGCACGAGGCAAAGCCTATGCATTTCCACGCTAATTAACGAATGCTCATTATTCTTACCCTTATAAACTACTAATCCATGGAAAACAGAATACGTGCAATGTAATGCTTTGCTACTGATGTCGATATCTCTACTGGTTGCAGAGATATAAGTGAAAAATGTGACGGACAATTTTTCAGCGTTAAAACGAGCATCATGTGTGACTGGTGTCTCTCTGTACCATCTACGATAACAATCGCAGACAACTGACGGCGCGTACTGCATCATCTTATTTCAGATTTTCTTTAGCTAAGATAATTAATAAATCCGCTGACATGTAAGTCTCATCATGTTATTGTTATGTGAGATTAGAGGGCGATAAATACCAGTGTGGATTCATTATTGCTGTCTCCTCTATTTGAATCTTGGGCAATGTAACAGAATTAGCCATATTTAGCTGCTTATATGTTAAACTTATTGAAGGAACAATATTTCTTTTCTACATCAAAACTTTGCAGAATCTTTTGTAGAATCTCATTGTAGTAATCTTATTTGTAGTTGTATTGTGATAATATATTTTTTCTCATAATAAATTACAATAACAGTGTACAAAATGAAAGAGAGAGAGTGTGTGTAATTATTATGACTTATATTACTGTATTTATGACTTATATTACTGTACTTATATTACTGTAGGTATTACTATATATATTATACAGGGTGCACGATTTATCTGAAGACATTGAAATATCTCGAGAACTATGCATTGGATAAAAAAAAGTGGTTAATGAAAGTTGTTAGTCTCGAAGGGGGACATCCAATGATACCAAACTCGACCTCCCACCCCACCCCCTGGGGGTGGGGGTTGGGGGCAACTTTGAAATCTTAAATGGAAACCCCCATTTTTTATTGCAGATACGGATTCTACGCCACAAAATACGTAAATTTTATCCGAAACTTTTTTTTTTATTCGTGATAGATGGCGCTGTAATCGCAAAAAATTATATTTTCCGCAATTCTCCAGAAATGATCATTGGATTGAGAAATAAAAAATACCTGTTAAATATTTTTAAAGAACGTAATAAAAGTTATTTCCCTCCCCATCCTCTTGGGGTAGGGTGGGTGATAACGTTCAAATCTCAAATGGGGACTCACATTTTTCATTGCAGAATTAGATTGTACGTGAAATTTTTATTGAAACAATTTTTTTCATTCGTGATAGATAGCGTTGAATTTTTCCGAGAAACTACTTTTAGCGTTACACAGGAACAACGACGAGGACGTAGTAGTTTTCTATTCCCTTTGGGGTGCTTGTTTTAGGTGAGTCCCCTCGCCTCTCACCATCGGGGTGCTTGTTTTAGGTGAGTCCCTTCGCCTCTCACCATCGGGGTGATTGTTTTAGGTGAGTCCCCTCGCCTCACTTCACTTTTTGTGGATACTGCGTGTGTGTTTCTTCAATCCAGTGAAGATTTGTATCTGACCAAAATCTACAATTGTGTCGGTTAACGTGGCCATTTAACTGAAATGTTCTCATCTGAAAATACTACATTTGATAGATAATTAGGATCTTCGGTTATTTTTTCCATCATCGAATCACAAAATTCAATGCGCCTATCGAAATCATCTTCATTTAGCTCTTGTACAAGATGGATCTTATAAGGATGAAATTTATTCATTTTCAATATTTTAAGCACAGACATTTGATCTATTTCATGTTGCTGTCCTACTTTGCGGGTCGAATCATGCGGATT